AGGGGCCACCCAAGGAAGTGCTCAAGAGCAGCTCCCACTCTCGGAAGGGAAACTACGGTGCTCCCGGCTCATGTAAAGTGGTGCCCCATTTGAGTACCTTGCAGCTCATTGGTCTTCACCCTACCTAAGGGCTTGGGCCTTCCCTTTGGGATGGAAGTGGGGGGGTAGAGGTACCCATACCGGGCCGTTAGGCCACGGTGTTTCGCCCCAGTATCCCGAAGTAAGTGTTGCACTCAAGGCTTGGGATTTAAAGGGTCCCATGATCAAATTTTGTTGTACCAAGGGATGTTAAGAACCTGGAGGCTTGGTGTGCTTGGCTGCTTGTGCTTGCAGGGAGTGTAGCCGAACCTTAAGTCCAGTCTAACCCAGGGAGGGGGATTGGGAGAGATTTGGGAATCCGTGAATGGGTGGCTAACACTCCATTGCTCGTGCAGTGAGTAGCTGAAACCAAGTAAGACCAAGTAGGAGCTGGTACAATAGGTGAGGAACATTTGCAAGGGAACTTAGCTAAAGCCAAGGCAGTGTTGGTCGGATAGACGAGGTAAGCTGGCAAATTGAAAAGGAAAAATTTGTGACTTATAGAAATGTGTGTTTAGATCCAAGGATACAATGTATCTTGGGTACCATATTTCTCATAAAGGTTTGCAAGTTAATCCTGACAAACTTGAGCTCTTCCTTCTTTACTCTTTTCTCATGTTTTTGAAGAGTTTGTCATTCCAGCATCTATAGATTTTTTGGATGAGGATTCCATACTGTTGGTGATTGTTGTACTTAATGTTCAATGTCAACAAAGTGTGAAGCAAGATTTACCTTTTCTTGACGAGGTTCGTGAAGCTCAAAAGATTGAGCCATGGATTCGAAGGATTCGTGATGGGTTTGAGAATCCTACATCATTTGCAAATGACTTGCCATTTCAACATTTACATTCTCAATATCACCTTGAGAGCAGTCTTCTTTATTTTATGAAAACGGATCCTAATGATCATTTATGGCTGGTGGTGCCTTTGATCTTTATTCCATACTTTCTCCACTCCTACCATGATTCTCCTATTCTAGGCAGGTATATGGGACATTGTCATATGACTAAGAAGCTGCGTAGGTCTTTCTATTGGATAGGATGTGATGTTATCTAGTATGTGCGTAGCTATGTTTGGTGCCAAGCTTGTAATACTCCCTCTCGTATTGTGGAAGGACAGTTAAAGTCAATTGTAATTCCCATTCATTTGAGTTGATAGCATTTGATCTAATAGGGCCTTTTTCACGATCGACTATTGATAATAAGTATGTCATTATTGCTTTTGACTACTTAACTCATTAGGTGGAAGTCGGTGCTCTTGCTAGTGCATTTGCAATTGCTATTGGATACTTCCTCCTTAATCAAGTGGTGTTTCAGCATTTCTTTCTAGAACGAATTCTTTTGGATAATGATCCTACATTTACGGCTGAGGCATTTCACATTTTGATGTTTTGGTTAGGGATATGCCACACTTTCACAAGTGCTTATCATACACAATTAAATGGTTTGGTGGAATAGCTCGAACCTTCAAAGGGATGGTTGCAAAGTATATGAACTTTCAATATTTAGATTAAAATGATTATTTACTGTTTCTTTAGTATGCATATGTCATAGGGGTGTAGAGTTTTATTGGTGCTTCACCATATAAACTTTTATATGGTCATGATCTAATACTACCAATGGAGTTGAGTTTACCTTTGCGATTGCCACGAGCTATTAATGCTAAATATTAGGATTAGTATTTGACGAGCATTCTCCCACTTGTCTGAGCAAAGTCTACCAAACACTTGGGCTATGTACAAGTGGGACAACAACAGCGCTACAACTCCCATCATCATCCACTTGCCAAATACAAAGTGGATGATTTAGTGTTACTCCGTTTTCCTAATCTTACAGTATATGGTTTGTCTAAGGGGCTGTTTGCTCAGTGGAAGGGAATGTATCAAGTGTTATGGCAAGTTAGACTGCAAGCTTATGAGGTTCAACATAATGTCCAATAGGCTGATCCTCCAAAAATTATACATATACAACAGCTGAAACACTTCATACAAAGAGATCAAGAAAACTAGTGCCACCTATAAATCCATCAATGCTTTCTCCTGATGCTCCTCTAGATCTTGGTTTGTCCATTGTCTTTTATTATTCTGAGAGGAGGGGATGATGTGAGGTTCAAGTGTACAATACCGTATATTAATATTAGTGTAGTGGGATTTTGATAGTCATCAGATTGGTTTCAATCCAAACCACTCGTTTTTACATATAAGCTAGGGTTTTTGGGCTAATTTATATGCATATTTATATATTATCTTCCCATATTCCATAAACTCACATTATATTATTTCAAGTTCATTGCTCATGTACATGGTTTTAAAGAAATTATCTCTCTCTCTTTTGTTTCTCCGATTTTGAAAGAAAAACTTGATTTTGAACTCTCTTTTTTGTGTTGCTCAAATGAAACAATGATGGTCTGGAAAAACAATCATAGATATGTTTGCCGACGTATTTAGGCAAAAGCTGTATGAGTACTATGTGAGTTTTTCCTTGGAAAGAAAAGATCAAACTAGCCATTTTTCTTGTAGGTTGATGCTGTTTGATCAGGCTGGATTTTGGTAGAGGATAGAAAATGTGATAGCGAATATAGAGATCAAATGATACAAAAACTAATCCACTTCATTCACAAGTGCTTCACATCACTTCTAAAGTCCTTTCATTGATCTCTAGTCTTTTTGATAGCCAAACATGAGCCACTGGTTCTAGCTGAGGGTATTGTAAATCTCCACAAGAGACACGAAGTTCTCACAATATCCAAGGCAGCATCTATACTAGTGAGTGCCAAAAACTTCTATTGCTTGCAAGGAAGAAAACTTGGAGCAATTGTACTTTAGGTCCATACTTAACCAGTATTGCAAGAACACTGTGCTTGGCATTTATTCTATAAGTTAGCTCTTTTAATGCATTTTTTCTTTTAACTCTTTTATCTTCTATCAGCAGTTCAAGCTTTCCTTGCTATTTAAATTTTGCTGTCTCTGTGTGATGCTTGAAGATCAAGAATGGTAGAGTTTTCAAAGTATATATTGTTAAAGTTATTGGCATGTTTCCAGAAGAAGAGGTTAAAAACCACTCTTGATCACTCTCTTGTCTCTCTTTACTCCCATGATAGTAGGAGGTTGGTAATACTAGTTATTTTTGTTTGTCTTTGCCTAAGTTTGTTAAGAAACTGGTTAGCACGTGTGCATTTAAACCGGAAAGGCATTAAGGAAGGAAATCCTAAATTGTCATTAAATCAAATATACTTGACATAGTGATTAGAAACTCATTTTGTTAATTTACACATAAGATTTTTCTTAAGTGAATGCTACATTTCATTATGATGCATGGGAAGGGAGCAGCATTATAAAGGTAAACATCATGTTTGTAGGGAGTTTTTTATTGCAGCTCTCAAGTTTTCCAAGTTTACAAAGAACAGGATAGCAAAGGAAAAGAAGCTTGTACAAGGTTTATGCATCTGGAGTGTCCAGCATCATTGAATACAAACCTCTAACAGGAAGAACTCACCAGGCAAGCAAAGTAAGGCTTACTATCAGTGAACTCGAGGTTGACCAATATAAAACAATTGTCACTGACAAAAACTGTGCTTGGAAACCAAGATCAAGATTGCATTTGTAAAGTATGAGTAGCTTTATTTTATGAAAGCATGGAGCTGGCTCTTAGGGTATGTCAATCCATATTTCTTTTTATCATTGCCACAAGAAAATGTTAGAATTGAAAGAGACTAGCTCATGATCCAGTCACTTATTTGGTTTAATTAAATATAAATGAAAAATGAAAACCTAGCTGTTAATTAAAACTAAAACTAAAATATACAACATATGGTAAAATCAAACCATATTAAAATACTACATCAGTGCACCTCTTGGTCCATATACCAAGAGGTGCATATAATACCATTGACTGAGCTAATTTATTTGTTAAAATAAATTCCTTCATCTATTTAAGATCTTATTTAAGCATAGATAGGCAAGTGTTGAAGTGGACTTCAAACACAATAAATTTAAATTCTAATGATATTGTTGTGATTGAGCTAAATGCACATTGGGAACTTATCCTGATCACCAACTCCTAGCATGTAGAAGATCTCTCTTGATTGAGGTGTTACTAGACAGATTGGATAACTTGATGTACGTTGCCTGAGTCATTAACTTCCTTGGGCAACCTAAATCTAATGATAAGCAACTTTACTGTGTTAGTTGCATTTTCCTGCTTCAAGGGTAATGCCTCAACCTCAACCCACTTTGTGACATAATCAGTAGCAATTATGGTATACTTGTTCTCTTTGCTACTAGGAACAAATCTAACTTTTGCCACTTTTCTGGCACTTTTATATAGTTTTATCCATCTCGAAGGAGTCGATACGTTGACGGATCCAAGTTTATAATTGCCATCGCTCATCCCAGTCAGGAGGTAAGGACCGTAGTATATTGCGTAGAGCGATGAGTACTTTGAGCGCTCATCTAGATCATGATAGGACTTCGCTTTGGAGCTTCCAGGGGCGAGAGGAAGCATGTAGATCATAACTCCAGGCTCTTTTCCTCGTTGAATTGTGAGAACTCCATTGATTAACGCTCTCTCGTAGAAATCAGCGTAATGCATTTGCTTTGTCCAGCGGAAGAGATTTCGTGCCACCTAAAGCAGCAAACAGCATGTAAGGATAAAAGTAAAAAAGAGAAAAGACTTCCTATAGAAACCTTGAGCATGTTGTCAGTTGTACAAGATTCCTCGTTTTCGGTTCCCAGAGTATCTCCAAGTCTATTTGGATCGGACCTGAATTATAACCAGGCCCAGATCTCAGATTGAGCTTACTTGATAAATCCTTACCAGAATTCGCCGGAAGACGTCCCCCCCGTAGCATATGTATGGGACAGAAAAAAAGAAGGCAAGAAACGATTCTTTCCTCGATGATCTTAAGTTTCCACCTGCAGGGCATTATCTCAGTGCGAGTGCAATGACTTGGGCCTCCACTCACAACCTCACCATCTACGAAAACATGAACGCTGTCGTAGCGGCTTTGGCCGAGTGCCAGGCAAAGATTGGAACTGGATACTTGTCTGCTTTTCCAACCAGCTTGTTTGATCGTTTCGAAGCTCTGGAGTCTGTTTGGGCACCATACTACACAATTCACAAGGTATAGAGCTTTCTTGTGTTTTTTTTTTCTTGAACTTCCAACGTAGTCCTGTTTTTTTCTTTCCCTTGAAAGATTATGGCAGGACTTTTGGATCAGTATACGTATGCCGCGAACAGTTTTGCATTCGAGATGCTGTTAGGCATGACTGATTACTTTGGGAGCCGCGTTGAGAGGGTCATTGAGAAGTATAGCATCGAGAGACACTGGCAATCACTAAACGAGGAGACTGGCGGGATGAACGATGTCTTGTATCGTGTCTATCAAATTACGGTAAGCTCTTCACAGCTTGGCTTGGTTGATCCTGACGAAAAAACCATTCTCAGGGAGATGCGAAACACTTAAAGTTGACACTTGTTTGATAAACCATGTTTCCTAGGATTGTTGGCTGTTCGGGTAATTCTTCTGTTTTCTTCTGTTTTCTTTCTTACATTTTAAGTAGTCGAGATTGGTTTGCTGCGCAATTGCCTGCCACGAATCCGGCAAAAGCCTCACGTCGTGCAGTGAAACAGCCCCAAGCAAGGAATTGTTTCGCTGCTGCTGGAGGACTCTCCTCCTGGAGAATTCTAGCGAACCTGTGGCGGTGGTGGTGTTCCAGCTGCTGGCGGTGGACGTGAGCTCCAGGCCGGAATCGAATGCGGCGAGGAGCTGAGCCCGCAAGGTGTGTGAAACCCCAGTGTTGGTGCACATCTTTCCATGGCCAAGCGGGCAGAGGAGTGGCAGCAAAGTGAGTACCAGGAGCGAGAAAGGGATCATCGTTCGCCTTCTAGACTTCCTGGAAAAGAAACAAGAAGATCATGGAAAGATCAAGCTTAAGAACAAGCAAGGATGTAAATAAAAGATTCTAAAAAGAGAAAAATAAGGAGAGAAACCCCTTGTCTGGTTTCGATGATGCTGCATTATCCTCTAGCGCAATGATACTCCATTCCTTGGAATGCAAGGAAAGCTACCATCACAAACCATCTCCACTCTTGATGCAATCTTAAACTTTGCTGCTTTAGAAAGCTTCTCAAGAAATTGCATGATCATTCGAGCCCAAGACCTCCTTTTTGCATGGATGATTGCCTCAGGCTTATCGATTCTTGCAAGACACTTTCTTTTGCTCGGCAGATTCGAGCTCGTCTTGACTGTGCCGGCACTGTGTTTATCTCCAACAAGCTCATTGAGATGTTTGGCAGGTGTGGTGGAGTGCAAGATGCCGAGAGCGTCTTCTATGCGATGGACAAGAGGGACCCCTTCTCGTGGGATGCAATGCTCCTGGCGTATACGAAAAACTCTTGCCTCACCCAAGCAAGGGTTTTCTTTTTTGATCTAATGCCGGAACAGAGCCTCATTGCCTGGACTGCAATACTCGTGGCACATACCCAAAAAGGGCATCTTGTTGAAGCAAAATGGCTGTTTGAAAGTATGCCTTTTAAAGACATAGTAGCATGGAATGCCATGATAAGTGGGCTTGCTCAACACGGACACTTAAGCAGCGCTGAGATACTCTTTGGCCAAATGCCGCAAGTTAATCTGGTCACATGGAATGCCATGCTTACGGCATATGCCGCAAACGGGCATCTTGAAAACGCATACCACCTTTTTAATCAAATGCCGGAAAAAAATTTGGTGACTTGGAATGCTTTGCTTTCGGCTTTGGCACAAGCTCGACACATTACTGGCCTGCAAATTGTGTTCAATCAAATGCCACTGTGGAATCTAGTGTCTTGGACTTCGGTGCTGACCGCATATTCAATTGACCGGCATTTTGAAAAGGCTGAGCTGACTTTTAAGGCCATGCCCGTATGGGATTTGGTTGCCTTCAATGCCCGGCTGACAGCCTCTTCTCAAAACGACTCTTATGGGAAAACAAAGAGAATGTTTGAGAAGATGCCAGAGCGTAACTTTGTCTCTTGGAATGCAATGCTTTCAACGGCTATTGCAAGCCGCAATCTTGATTCCGTAAATTCATTGTATAATAACATGCCTCAGCATAGCTTTTATACTTGGAATATTGTTTTGGCTGCATACACACACTATGGCCTTATGGAAAAAGCAAAGGATATGTTTGAGACGATGCCGGAGGAGGATCTTATTTCTTGCAACACTATGCTTTCTGGATATGCCCAAAACCGGAATCTAGAGCTTGCCAAATTCATGTTTGATAGAATGCCACAAAGGGACCTATTTTCCTGGACTGCTCTTCTCTCTGGTTTCTCACAAAATGGCTTTATTCAGGAGGCTACTAGTGTGTTCTACCAAATGCCAAAGAAGGACTTTGTTGCATGGAGCGCCTTTCTTTCAGCACATGCCCAAAACGGGCACCTTTTATACTGTAAGTTGCTATTTGAGAGAGCCCCAGAGCAAGATTTAGTGTGGAGTGCAATGCTGTCTGCATATGCCCATAATGGTCACTCTAAAGAGGCCATTGATCTTTTTGATGCCATGAAACTCATGTCTATACCCAATGACATATGTTTTTTATCTGCTCTTCTCGCTTGTAGCCATGTTGGAAAAACCCACACAGGTCACCACTGGTTTTTGTCGATGCAAGCTGACTTTAACGTCAAACCCAACCAGCGGCACTTTTGTTGTATGGTTGATCTTTTGGGACGTGCTAGCTATTTGGTTGATGCAGAGGATTTAATTACTAATATGCCCTTCGAGCCGGATATTTTAGAGTGGACGTGTTTTCTTGGAGCTTGCAAGAGTCACAGCCATGTTACATTTGGAACTAATGCAGCAAAGAATGTGTTCGACCTTTGTCCTAGGGGTGAAGCTCCTCAAGCTTATCCTTTGCTTGCAAATTTAATTGGTCAAAATCTGGATTTTTAGTAACTCTTTTGTTTTAAAGAGATGTTATATGATAATTTATTTTAGACATGTCAATGAGAACATAACTTGTCACTACCTAATGCCCACCAAACATTGTTAGGACGTTTTTCAGAGTATATAACTACATTACAATCATTTTGAATAGTAAAAAATAAAGTGCAACCAAGGAATTTACAAAATTGATTAATTTCCCATACTGTTTTCTCTATTAGATTTAAAATAAGATTACCATTGTTTTGAAATTTCAACATACAATTATAACCATATTGTGTTGTACTTGATTCCCAAATTTTATTTCTTTCAAAGTACAAAACAAGGTTGCAATGTGATTCAAGAATAAAAACAACTTTACCATTTGGAGAAATTAAAAATTGATCTGTATAAAGTGTTGAAGGATTACTTATAGAATTGACTTCTAAATAACAATTAGAATTATAATAAAATTTTCTTTTTAATAGAGATATACTTTCGTTTTTAGATATATGTAAATCTGTAATTTGAACCGTAATTGCAAGACTTCCATCATATAATATGACATAGCCAACTTTGTTTTTCCTTTTTATAAAACAGTTACTGAAAATAAATTTTAGAGCTTGCTCAAAATCATGTTGTTTTTCTTCAAAGCTTACAATTTTTAAGCTTAATGTAAGTGTAAAATTTATGTTATTATAGGAAAATTTATATATTTTATTTTCTATATTATTTCTTAAAAGTATATAGCTATAGGTAATGTTTAAGAAGTTAGAGTAGTCTTGAGGTGAAGGCATATTATGATGAGTAGAATTAATAACACATTGTTGAATAGATCTATTAGATACATATGCTTGGCATTCATAAAAACTTAGAAAAATAACAAATAATATCAATATTGCCATTTTTATCTCTATAATATAAATATAATTGTATTATATATAAAAGTATATCCATTTTAAAAGTAATATTACACTTTTGGTTTAATGCACCAAACAAAATTTTATTGTCTCCAATATAATATGTACAATTGCACATATCCTAAGAATATACTCATCTGACTGATGTAGAGAAAAATGTTCACTCCCACTCTTCTGGGAAATTGTATGGATACAAACATTGATTATATAATTATATAAGAGAGAGAGAGAGAGAGATTGTATTAGGTTAATTGGGTTATATAGTCTTGTTTCAATAGTATATAAATGAATGAATGGACATTAGATTTTGGAGCATTAATACATATATTTTGTTGCATGGACAAGTATAAATATGGATAGAAATGAATGCCTTCGTGTAATTGGCAACACTGCAAATTTATCTAGAGGAAGGAGAATTCATGCTCAAATCCAACAACTTATCTACCCCACAGATACATATATACTAAATAAGCTGGTTGAAATGTATGGAAAATGTGGGAGCCTAAAGCATGCTAGACAAGTATTTGATAACATTTGTGTGAAAGACTCATTCTCATGGGATTTCATGCTCATTGCCTACACAAGAAATGGGGATATTGCAAACGCCAAAAAATTCATTGACCAGGAAATGCCTTATAGGACGAAAGTTTCTTCTACGGCAATGCTAGACAGATATGCCCAAATGGGTGAAATACACCACGCGAAGTTGATCTTTGATACTATGCCAGAACCTGACATGATCTCATATTCTACAATGTTAGTAGGTTACGTACAGGCTGGATATTTTAAGCAGTCTAGGGAAATGTTTCAAGAGATGCCATTGTGGAACCTTATAGCTTGCACGGCAATGGTGACAGCATATACCCAATGTGGGCATCTAGCAGGATCAGTACAAGTATTTGAGAACATGCCAGAGTGGGACTTAGTTGCTTGGAACGCAATGCTGGGAGCATACTCAAGCCACTCACTCATCGTAGATGCAAAGAAGTTCTTTTCATTAATGGGCGAGCATGACTTAGTATCCTGGAACACGATGCTAGCCGCATATTCCAGAACCGGGAATCTCGAAGATGCTAAGCTCACGTTTGATAAGATGCCGGAGCACAACCTCGTCACCTGGAACACTATGCTAACTGGATATGCCCACCACGGGCATATCGAGCAAGCGAGAAACCTGTTCAGGGAAATGCCTGCGCGGGATTTAATGTCCTGGAATGCGTTTCTAGCTTCGTGCTGCAAGGCGGAGCGCTTAAAAGAGGTGGAGCTTCTATTTCGTGAGATGCCAGAGCGCGATCTCGTGTCGTACAACATACTTCTCACATTGTATTGTCGCAGTAAGAACTATGGTGCTGCAAAAGAACTGTTTTCCCAGATCGCTGTGGTCAACGTAATATCATGCAATGTTTTCCTTGCTTACCTTGCTCAGGATCCAGACGTTGAACCGATCAGAGATTTTTTTGCCAAGATGCCACAGAAAGATCTTGTGTCGTGGACTGCACTGCTGGCTGCCTATGCCCAATCCGGGCATGTAGATTTCGCACGATATATCTTTGATACGATGCCAGAGAGGGATACCACGTCGTGGAACGCGATGGTGGCGTCGTACACGCGTGGCGGTCATCTGGAAGCCGCAAGGGCACTGTTTCTCGAAACTCCGCTCAAAGATCTGATCACCTGGAACACAATCCTGTCAGCCTATGCCCAAGCTGGTCATGTCACAGAAGCGATGCGTACCTTCAATGAAATGCCAGAGCGAGACGTAGTCTCTTGGAACACCATCATGTCTGCCTATTTCCAAAGCGGTCGTGTCCTTCTTGCAAGACGAACGTTTGACGCCATGCCCAGCAAGGATTCGATTTCCTGGAGCACCATGCTGGCTGGGTACTCCCACGCTGGGCATGCCAAAGACGCGCAGGACCTCTTCATGGGCATGAGCGCTCTGGACGCGGCCAGTGACGTCTGCTTTGTGCTGCTTCTCATCTCGTGTTGTCATGACGGGGAGCTGGAGACTGGCAAGTCGTGTTTCATCTCCATGGTGATGGACTTTGGAATTCGACCAACGAAGCAGCACTACTGTTGCATGGTCCGGCTGTTTGGACGTGCCGGCTACGTGAAGGAGGCAGAGGAGCTTGTCGCGGCCATGCCTTACGTGCCAGACGTGGTGGAGTGGGCGTCACTGCTCAGCACCTGCAATTCAAACGATCAGCACGTTGGAAGCACCGCGGCAATGCGTGTCATGGAGATTGACTCCAGTGTTGCAATTACTTACGTATTGCTTGCCAACGCTTGTGCTGCTCCTCTGTCGCAGAGAGTACAGCCGAAGCAAGAAAATGATTCCTCCCGGTTGACTGTGACGTGAAAGATCCTCCGGTGAGTACTTTCATTTTAACAACGGCTGCTTAGCTCTTACCTGGGCCAGGTTCCGCACGAACTCGACTTTACTTGGCTGCTGATACAATATACTTGTTTACTGTAGAAAAAAGGGGGACGTCCGGCGAGTCCTTTTCCTAATGCTTTGTTTCGAAGAGATTGGTTCAGGCTCTGGCTGGCTGGCTGGCTGCATGAATGCGCGTATCAGAAAGTCCAATCAGAAAATAACAACAGTTCCCATGCCTTTGTTCAGACGCAAGATAAAGATTAGAAATAAAAGAAGAAGAGAACAACTCATACTCACAGTCGAATGAATTCCCGTCTCGCCTGGGCTTCTTCGCTGTCTTTGGCTGCCCACCTAACAACAGTCACAGTCGGATCAGTAAAGCGTTTAGAGAAAGAAGCGGCCGTGAATGCGAAGGACTCGTGAAACACCGTAGATGTAAATGCAAAGAAAACTTGGCAGAAGCAAGTAAAGCCAGTCAGTGCCACGCCAAAGTCTGCCTGCCTTGTATGGTAGATAGATAGAACGACAGATGAGTAGATAAGACGCCAGGGAGCATCGCCAGAGCCTTTCAGTGCGCAGCTGCACAAGGAGCAGGAGAGCCCCTCTTCAACTCATCATCACCATCATGTCCACAGGAATAAAGAAAGACTGCCGCAAGGATATGCTGGAAGCAAAAGAGAAAAGAAAACACATTAAAACAAAACCAGAGAAGGAAAGCCAAAGCAGCAAAGAATACCTCTCTCTGCTGCAGCGAGCACGTTGGCTGATTGATTGAAGCAAGAAGAGAGAATGCCGTTCCAAACACAAAGCCATGATGCCTCCAGTGGCATCGCTGCTCAGTACAGGCATGGGCTTGGCGTATAGTGGCAGCCAGCCAGGATTCAGGAAGACGAGGCTCCTTGTGAAATATAAAAATTGCGAAAAGCAACAAGAACACACGAGTGAGTGGTGATTTAGCAAGAAAAAGATGCAGCACCAGAGAGCACGGACTTGTTGAGTGACGACTGCGAACATTTAATCGCCTCCAAAGTGAAAGAGATTGTGAGTTGAGAGGTACCTCTCCAACTCGGCCCGGATTGAAAACTAACATGTCTTGTATTTCATTAAAACCAATGACTGCTGCAAGTCACAGAGGAGCGAGTCTTTATCCTGCAACGAAGGAATGTAAGTGAGTAAATGGAGCTTGCCTTTCCGAAATTATTAAGTATAGAGCCCAGACCTGAGAACACTTGGAAGATACTCAAGTTATCCACAAAACAATTCCCCAAAAGTTCTTCCTGGATCATCAGCAACTCATCAAATAATCAGTAACGTCTGCAAAAGCAACTGCCTCGAACCTGTGCTTCCAATACCAAGCAAGCATCCAGGCTTGCTTACTCAAATGCCTTCTACCGGGAAAGCGAAGAGACAGGTAAAGAAACGAAAAAACCAGCTGCTTCCGTATACAAAAGAGTTCGAGCACTTACTACAGATAAAGCAAAGCTTTCAGGTCGCAGCAGCCAGCCCACCATGCTCTCCGTCTCTAACACCCTTTCTTTTTACACTTGGGCTGCCTGCGCTTGTAATGTAGCTCTCTAAGTCACCAGGCAAACTTCTCGAGCCAAGAAGTTATTTCATTTGCCTGCAAAAAAATTGTTTCTCGCCTGCTACTGGTGCTTCCTCCTTATTCCCTCCACTAAGTCATGCACCTCGGGCTATAAAATATAGTGCTGCACCGCATCTTCGAGCTTTTGTTGGCTAGGACCCAGCATCTCGGTTACTTTAAGCCCGTTCTTGTACAGCTTGAAAGTTGGGACGGTACCTACACCCTCAGTCTTGGCCAGAAATGGGTGGTCCTCGATATCAACCTGCAGCGAATTAGATGCTAAGAAAAGCAAACCAAAAAAAAAAGAGGAGCGACTACCTTGACAAAGTTGACAGAAGGATATCTTTTTGACAATAAATTGATAAACGGCGTGATCTGCTTGCACCGCTCGCTCCATCTGGTTATGAAATGAACGACAGCTAGACCTGAAAGCACAGCACAAGCTTAGAGTGGGTTTCTCACCGCCATGCAGCACTTGGCTGTGTAATACCTGGAGATGTGATGGCTTCCTTGAATTGGTCGGGGCTATAGACCTCCTCGACTCCGCCTCCTCCAAAACTGACTTTGTAAACTTCTTCTCCTCTTGCTTTCTTCTGAGCGATCTGCACTTCGAACAGTGCCCTGGCAACTTCCACGTCCCCAGGAAGCTTACTTTTCAGAACCATGTAGTCTTCGAGTGCACTGTCCCATCGCTCAAGCTGCATCATATTAAACGACAGGCCTATCAATCAGCAAGTAATAGAGATTGAAGTACCTGGGTGTAACACTGTGCACGTCGGAGAAGAGCCTTTGTGTAACTGGGCTGTACGTTGAGGGCAGCGTTACAGTCCTCAATAGCCTTCTCCCAAAGCCGGAGCTTCGACCTGCATGCTGCTCTGTTGCAGTATAGGATGGCATTTTCTGGATCGAGCTCCAATCCCTCGCCGTAAGCGGTTGAAGCTTCGAGGAATTTGCCAGCCTTGAAAAGGTCATTGCCGGTTGCTCTTGCCTTCACTAACCTACGGACTTTCTTGTCGAATCCAGAAACTTCCGCATTGAACGGTTCGTTCGCGCTAGCTTTCTCTGCTGCTTGAAGCGCTTCTTCAAACCTGTAACTTGAATCAGATATTGAAAATAAGCATTTGAAACATTACCGTCCTTGAGCCAGGTCTATCTTCGCTTGAGCGATGAAGTACACGCGTTCGTCCACTACATGCTTTTGTTTCAAATTCCGCTGGGCGCACAAAATGGCCCTATCAGCTTCGTTCACCTTACAAAGGTTTAGTAGAGCTTCTGCCTTGAGAGCGTATGCCTGCATTTGAAGAAAAACCTTGAGTATATACCTACACCGGGAACTACGTACCTGGACCGAGGAATCCGCACCCGCAACGACAGCCGCATCACTCTCTCTTATAACCATTTGCCAATCTCTCAGCCTTCTCGCGTCGTGACACTTGGCTAGATGAAGAGCAACACTTTCCAATCGCTGCAAGTCCCCGCCTTCATTTCCTTGCAAATGTCTTTTCGCCTCGTCTGTCCATCCTAGTCTGGAACAAGACACCAACCATAAGATGATGCAGCAAGAAGTTGGAAAACTGGACTGTACCTGAGAAACAGTGTTCCTAGCCGCAAGTGTGCACGAGAATAGCTTGGATCAAGGACGATGGCTTGTTGGCATTCCTGTACAGCCTCAACCAAGCGTCCCAGTGCTGCCAAAACGGCTGCTCTGTTGCTGTGGTAAGGCGCTTGACCAGGTGACAAAGATATCGCTCGATCGTACAGAGACAAGGCCTCCAGGAAGTGGCCTTTCTTATACTGGTCGTTTCCGATGTTCTTAACTTCTTCTGCGTCCTTGCTGGTGAGAGCCTTCTTCAGCAACATACTTTCGCCCATGAGGAACACATTTCCAGTTCCATAAGACTCAGCCGTGACCTTTTTACCGTTTGGTTTTTGAGGATCATTGCTACTAGCGGGTGCACCACCTTTACTTACGCTGCCGTAAGACGGTGCCGTCGACTCCTGCGCCACGGAGGTCTTCTCACCGCCAGGGACACCGCCTCTGGCAAAGCTACCGCCAGAAACAAACCCGCAATTCATCCCTTCACTTTGAACTTTTGCTGCTGCTCCGGTTGGCTTGATCGATGGAGGCGTAGCTTTCTCAGCAGCAGGAACCTGAGGCTTAGAGGCTGAAAGGTTTGAGCGGAAAAGGTTGCCTCCCCTCGCGCCACTGTTGAACACTCCCCAGTTTCCATCACTCACGTTTCTGGAATGTCGAATGGATGGAACCTCCTTGTTCAACGTTCGAGGAGGACTCCCGGTATAACTCCTTGCCTTGCCGCCACCTTCCGTCAACTCTCCTCGTTTTGGAGTTACTCTCACAACTCCATCCTGCTTCCTGTCAGGAAACGAAGAGTTCGTCGCGAAGCCGGCCTTGCTGTCTTGAACGTCAGACACTTTGGTTGGTTCCTTCGATCTCGCTCTCGTTGGACTGGTGAAATATAATCTGCTGTGTCCCTCCTCCGGGAAGATCATACTAAAGCTTCCTTCGCTGAGATTACGAGTCCTTGGAGCCGGTCGAAAGTTAGCTGGGCTGCTAGGCCAGCTTTGGTGAGACGATGCTGCGGCTTTAGAAATCCTCGTCCTCGTACCACCAAGAGTTCCTCCACTGCCATTGGCCACCACACCGCCAATTAGCTTCGAAGGTTGGCTTGTCGATGGAGCCTCTCCCACTTCCGAAGTGATTTCTCCCGAGCTGTGTCTACTGGATGGCTTGGGAGCTGCGGCCGCACCGTCTACATCGGATCTGTAACTCCCGATCTCGGTCTTGGAATCGGCCTTCTTGGTGGGCGCTGTAAGCTCCCCAGACAGTTTCCTCATCACAGGTGGCTTTGGAATCTCGTCGCTCGGCAATCCCAGCTTGACAGTGGCATCTGCGATGCGATCGGCCTCTGGAGGATTCGCCGCCTCCAGAGTGGTGCTCGTGGAAACGGTCTCAAGCGATGCTCGGCTGGTTTGATTGTGCTTCTGCTGCTTGAAAAACATTGGCACGATCATCTCCGCGCTGTTAGCCGCCGATGCCGCCGCGTACTTGGAGTAGCTTCTAAATGGCTTGAGATGGTCGCCACCATAGCCAGAGCAATACAGCCTCCCGCCATGCATGTCGAAAGTGCCGATGGGCTTGCTTTCCGCATAGCACTGCGCCATATCCACGACTCAGTGGATGGTTGATAGAAATTTACCTCGAAATTTCAGACGATCTTCTGCGTTGCTTCCCAAACCAATGCTGGAAAGAAAATCGCAATGCTGCGAATCAGGGGATTGCGATCAAGCCCGGCTTCACTGGAAATGTGTCAGATCTACGCACATCTGGTACCATAAACGAGCGAGAGAATGCAGGGGATGTGCCGCCGCCTGCATTCACGAAGGACGCCTCCTCGTCCTCCAGCGCTGCTAGGGTAGTGAAGCAATGCCTCACAGTCATCCCCCGCTGGAGCTGGAGTGGCCGTCAAGCGAGCTTGAGCGCCCGAAATATCGATTAGCCGGGTCGATCTAGCACAGCGAGCGCGACCTAGGCGATTCCTAGCGCCAATGCAGATCCACACGCCGCGGATCAAAGAATTTCGAGCAGCGCGGCACCGGCGCCTCCGTAAATCGATCGATCGATCGAAGCCTCCAATGCTGCTATATCTACCGCTACTAGAATGCGCCAGTGCGCCAATGCAAGAACTCTAAGCTACCTACACACGCACAAATAGGCCATCGCTAAAAGCCGCCCCAAAGAGCCCTCGGCAACGCCAGCCGTCGGATCCGCCGCGAGGCCCCGGATCCGTAATGCCGCGCCGTGGTGGCGAGACATGGGCCGTCGGATCCGCGACTCGCACCACGTGGCCGTTGCACTAACCGCTAGATATGCGCAGCCGTGTGAAAGCGCCACCACGTGCTCCGCCCTCCGATTCCACCATCCGACGGCCACCAAGAGGGCAGCTGGCCATGTTTGCCAGCGCTGCGTGAGCTGCCTCTACGGGCAGTAGGCTTTGCTTGATCAATCAATGGTACGGGATTATGGGCGATGGGAATATCCCCTCCCTCCAAAACAATTGCGTGTGCGAAAGATCCAGCTATGTGTTAGGTATCCACGAGCCACGTCATTCGCATGCAATCTCCCGTCGATTCCACAGAATATGCCCCGTGAAAGGGCAAAAGAAAAATTTCCCGCTACCACGAGATCAATGTGGTGGAGGTCAGGGCTTTTGTTTTCATGGACTTCTTGCGAGGCGTTTTCGCTTTTCCATCGTCTTGTTCATATTTTCCATGTTTTCAAAGACTGGGTTTTAGGTCTTGGAAAGGCTGGCAAGACATGGCGTATAACCGGCGCGCCCGCCCGCCGCCGCGAAAGCAGGGAAATTAAAAAAAGGAGGGAGGTCGAAGAAATCTATCAATCAATCAATCACTAGTAAAGCCCTTGGCAGTGCGAGAAGTGGACATCACATGCCAAATGCAAGTCTGGACTTACAACAACAACAACACATAGACACACCCACACAATGTCATAGTTGTAGAAACAATATAGTATTTCTACACCCGCAACTACATACCCTGTATATGGAGTGTGATGAGGAAACGCCAGGCAATCTTTTCGTCCCAGGGCCAGCCGTGAATTATCAAACAGCCAGCCGAGCTTCTTCTAGAAAGCCGAAAGATTTGGATGCAAATCTTGGCCGCCAAGCTAAACCTTGTTGATTTTGCAATGTATCGAAGCCTCCTCAGGGGATTTGTTTACGAAAGCCGAAAGAGTGGGCGGAGATTGTGATTGATCGCGAGCTCTTGTTAACGTTGATCGTGGATCACTTCCAAGGACGACAAAATCTACGAATGATAAGACTTGGTATAAGCTTCTCGTCCAATGATTGGAGGGGTGTGTATGGAATATGCTGTCCAAGATCCTTGGCCACCATTAAAGTATAACGCATTCAATCTCTTGTGCTGGTTGCTCCAACCAAATTGCTTTGGCTTGGCGTGCTCGCGATTAAATCGCGCCCATGAGCGACAATGTTTCCATATCGCGCCATTCAATTCCCACAAAGGCTGTGGAAGAATTGTCCAGACCTAGCATCTCCCCGCAAGAAAGTTGGTGGAACAACGAAAGGGAGCTCGCAAATTTGGTGGTGGCACTCACTCACATTGATTCGACAACGAAAAAAACGTACTATAGACGTGGCGTGGCTTGAATGTGAGAAAAAACGTGCGGACGTGGGCACGACGTGTCATTCGTGCCGCCACGTCACTGTGACACGTGTTAGGGCGGCATCTTCTCTTTCCTTTTGCCTGGCAAGTGTTTGCTGGAAGAAATGCAAGCTTTTGGATGGCTGGCATGTGAGGGTTTGCTGGCCTTGGAAGTGACAGAAAGGGTTTTAAGTTCGTTAACGTGGTCTTGTTGAAGGGATCTCTCTGCCCTGGAATACTTTTAATTCGCCCCATGTTGTAAAGCTCTCCCTCGCGTGATTGATTTGATCGCATCTATCCGACCAGTGAATTTGGACAGTCAACTCGAGCCAAGTGTTGGGATCGAGAGGGAAATGAAACATCAATCAAGTCGGGCTCGAGACGATCGAGCACGTCTTCCTGGATCGATATCCCCCTACTTAATTAGTGATTTGCGATCACATGGAGTGGATGGAGAACGATTGATCGATCAATCAATCAATCGCTGGAGATCTTGACTAATGCAGCCTTTGTGATAGTGATCTTATAGAAGATCATGCAAGGGTCCGGGGGTGTAACAAAATCGCTACAGAGTTTCAAATTAGAGATGCCCGACTCGAAACTAAACTCCAAATCTTTCAACAGTGCCACCTTGTCTCGTGACAATAAACTTCTGGACGACCATTTCCAAGAACTCCGTTTTTTACTTGGCTATGGAGGGCTTGCTTCAAATCGGGACGGCAGCAATTTTTCTATCATGGATTGCCTGGAGTTTGTTCTTCGCGCCAAGAACAAGGATCTACCGAGGTAATTTGCCTCCCTCGCCAGGATTTGCTCTCCCGATAATCGGCCACCTTCACTTACTTGGCAAATTGCCACACGTCTCCTTCATCGAACTGGCCGAGCGCTATGGCCCGTGTCTAATGCTCAAGCTTGGATCATATCCATGCCTGCTTATCTCGTCGCCCGAGTTTGCTCGAGAGGCTCTCAAGGTGAACGACATCGCCTTCTCATCGCGGCCCAGCTTGGCGGCCTCCAGGATCCTGGGAGACAACGCGGCGGGGATTCTATGGGCTCCCTACGGCCAGCAGTGGAGAAACTTGCGCAAGCTTTGCTCGCTGGAGCTCCTGACCTCGAGACGAATCGAGGAATCGCGGCCGGTGCGAGCGGCCGAGGTTGCGGCAGCGATGGCGAGAGCAAAGGAGATTTCCAAGGCGGGGATTTGCGTGAACTTGACGAGCTTGCTCGCGGATCTCACTTTCGATATCATGCGAGTGTGTGTCACGGGATCGTCGGAGAGCTCCCGATCCTCGGCCGGGGTTTACAAGCGAGCGATGAAAGAATCCTTCGTTGCTGGCGGGGAAGTTCACGTCGGGGACTACGTACCCTGGCTCTGGTGGCTGGATCTCGCAAAGGTGGCGCGCATGAAAAGAGTTCACGGCGAGATAGACGATATCATCCAGAAAGAGATCGACGAACACCGCGGCAATAGCAGTGGCAGTGACGATTTCATCACTGCCACCCTTCGAAACGACGAGATTTGCCGCACGGATCGCGATCGCAAGGGACTCATCAGTGTAAGAATCTCTTGATCCCTTTGTTGTTGTTTCGATCGATCGTCCACTTGAACCAGGATGTGATAGGAGGCGGCACTGACACCAGCGCTTTGACGGTGGAGTGGGCGATGGCGGAGCTCATCAACAATCCTCGATCGCTGGAGCGAGCACAAGACGAGCTCCTCCAAACTTTCGGCAAAAATTCGCTCGTGGAGGAAGATCGACTGGAGGAGCTCGAGTTTCTAACCGCGGTGGTGAAGGAAACACTGCGCTTGCATCCACCGGCGCCCATCCTCATCTACGAGACAACGCACGAGTGCCAACTCGAGCGCTACACCATTCCTCCAAAAACTCGCGTCTTCATCAACATCTATGGGATCGCCAGGAGCGAGGCGTCGTGGAGCGATCCCCTGGCTTTCAAACCCGAGAGATTCCTGGGCAGCGGCGCGATCGATGTCCGCGGCCGCGACTTTGAGGTGCTCCCGTTTGGATCCGGCCGGCGTGGATGCCCCGGGATTCAGCTGGGATTCACGATGGTGATGCTCGTCCTCGCGAACATGCTGCACGGATTCCACTGGAGCTTACCGCCAGGGCTATCGCGGCTGGATATGAGCGAGGAGAGCGGCCTCACGATTCCTCGCGCGATCCCTCTCGAGCTCCTGGCAGTGCCGCGCTTGGATGCGCGCTCCTATCCTGTTTGAAATATAACAGAGAAAATATTTCTAGGGCTCTAGAGATGAGCGATGGAGGTGAGGAGATTTGGCGATGGCGCCATCGCTCGGCAGCTATTCTCGATCAAGGCAAGTGTCGCGGCATTGAAATCTTGCACCGGCGCCAGGGATTTGGAGAGAGGGAGGAGGATCCACGCCGATGCGATCCACACAGGGTACGATTCCAATCCTCGTGTGGCGAGTAGCTTGATCAACATGTATGGAAAATGCGGCAGCGCGATGGAGGCTCGACGGGTTTTCGATCGAATCCAGGACAGGGAGAGGGATGTAGTGGTCTGGACAGCCATGATTATTTGCTATGCTGAGAATGGGGAGGGGTTTCTTGCCTTGGATCTCTTCTCCAAGATGATCCGCGATGGGTTCTCGCCGAATTCATGGACTCTGGTAGCTCTTCTCAAGGCCTGCTCGAGCCTGGCAGCGAAAGAACGAGGTGTCCAGGTCGGGGAAAAAATCTTGAAGGCGGATTCTTTGGAGAAAGGAATGGGGATTCACTCTAGAGTGCTGGGTGATGAGCTGAGCAACACTTTCGTAGCAAACTCGCTCGTCAACTTTTATGCCAAGTGTGGGAGCATGGTGGATGCGGCCAGAGTTTTCGACAGCATGAAGGAGCGCGACGTGGTGTCCTGGAACTCCTTGGTTCTCGGGCACGTAGAGAATGGAGAGCTCGAGCAGGCTCTAGAGGCGATCACCCGATGGATTGAAGACGGCCAAGGTTTTGGAAGTTTCAACCATCTCAGTTTCGTGGCTGTTTGCAAGGCTTGCATTGGCTTGGCCGAGAGAGAAGATGGTCAGCTCCAAGATAACGGTAAGCTTGTCAAGGTGAAGGCTTTAGAGAAAGGCATGGCCTTCCACTCGCAAGCTTGCTTGTCCGGCTGCTCTTCGGAAGCTCTTCTGGCAGGCACGATGGTGGACATGTATGCCAAGTGTGGAAGCATGGAAGACGCTCAGCGAGTTTTCAATGAGATAGTTTGCGGCCGCGGCGGGGGCAGAAACTCTGCCATCGATCTAGTGGTGCCTTGGACTTCACTTGAGATGGGACTCGTAGAGAATGGCGAAGCAGGCGTAGCTCTGGAGCTTTTCTATCAGATGGTCAACCATGGACTTACTCCAAACTGCCGAACTTACGTTGCTGCGCTCAAAGCAGGCTGTGGCTGCCTGGAAGCGGTGAAGAGACTCCACGCTGGGATCTTAAGATCGGGAATGCTTGAGAGAGATTTGCTTCTGGGAAACTGCCTGGTCGACGTTTATGGCAAATGCGGCAGCACAGTCGATGCTCAGCTCGTCTTTGATGCGGTTCCAACGAGAGATTCGGTGACTTGGACATCACTGCTCGCTGGCTACAGCCTCCATGGCGACGCTCGCCTCGTGTTTGAGTTTCTCCAGGCCATGCAGGACGATTCTTGTCGACCAAATGCGGTGGCTCTCCTCTGCGTTCTAGCTGCGTGTAGTCGCTCGGGCCTGGTTGACGAAGGGAAGCAGTGTTTGGAGGCAGCTGTAGCAAAGGGTGGTATTGAGCCAGGGATTCAACATTACAGTTGCATGGCAGACTTGTTGGGACGTGCTGGTGGAGTGGAAGCTATGGTGGAAGCGATGCCTCGCTCGTGGGAGGGGAACTCTGTGGCATGGACGATGCTACTGGATGCCTGCCGAAAGTGGGGGAACGTTGCGGTGGGAAAGGTGGCGTTTGAGAAATTGACGAGGCTGGATTGCGAGAGAACATCTTCAGGAGCACCAACAGCAGCCTACGATTTGATGGCAAGTCTCTTCGTAGCTTCGAACTAGTTGCTGAGACTCGTCAAGCCAGACGTTTTTGTTTTTCCTCCGGAAAGGCGTTGGAGTTGCACGGCACGGCCAACGAAGAGATGTTTTTGATTTTCCTCCGGAATGCGTTTGAGTTGCACGGCATGACATTTACATTACATCACGGCAAGGCCAAGCTCTCCAGGTGAAAACTTCTTGTTTTTGTCATTGTCTCCTGACATTTTTATTTACAGGAACTTGAAAGTCTTGCAACTGGAGTTTTTCCCGCATCCTCTTCGTGCTTAAAAGGTTCGTACTTTAATTGGTCGAGACTTTTTCTGTTGTTCTTGATTTCTTTTCTATATGCAGACAACTTGCTGCGCAGAGAAAAAAAAAACTTTTCTTTTGCCCCGAAACAACGCACGAAGGAACAGAGCTGTTGTTCATCTCTAAAGGCTCGTTTGTTCGTTTGTATGTGAAGCTTGAGTTTGTCTAACATTTTGTTCTTCTTCAGCTTTCAGAGTCGGCGTGCTTTGATTATTTTCCCCTTTTTTCCTGGTCTTGGCTACATCCGCTTCTGGTAGGCACACTCTGATTTGTTTAATCCGCTGTTGTTTTACTTTCTGCCGCTTCGTGCATATCCTCAAGTCCGCTCCAGCTAAGTGGCGCATGCAAATGCGTTAGCACCGCCATTGTCAACGAGCCACAAAGTCCCACCCGCTTATCTTCGTCACGATCGATACTTCTTTTCGGTATTCAACGCGTATACTATTCTCGCGGCGCAGCTTCGTTGGTGGAGAAAGATTGGATTGGACGCGAGCCGCGAGAAAAGTGGGGTATGTTCGTTCATTCCTCCACCATCAAGTCTGATTTTATGTTCCGGAATTCCAGGAAGAACGTAGGCTGCCGACACTCCGCTGTTTCACGTAGAACCACTGCCAGAGTCGTCTCCAGGAACCTCGCCCCAGAAGTTTCGTGAGCGGAGAGCTCAATTCAAAGACTACTACAGGTATACAGTCCCGCGACTGTAGATAAAAGCGCTGCTTCAGCTGGCCTTTGGAATGGATCCAAGGGTCAACCACGTTTCGTTTTCAGGGGCCAGGGGGCGTATGAACAACGAAGAAAACGCGTCCGGCATAACACCAGTGGTGTTGCTTGGGCGGAGAGAATTTTCTAATGGCGGCGTGGTTTCCCAGCTCCAGTTGGATTTGCTTCGTGGCGAGCGGCGGTGGGACAACACGACACGGTCCTCTTCGTCGTTGAAAAGGGAAGGAAGCTGCCATTAAACGAGGAGAAAGAAAGAAGAGAAGCAAAGAACTTGTGGTCCGCGCGTTGAAAGTTTGCGAATGGTGGACGAGACGACTGAGACTGGCGACTTGAGAGACAATTCACGAAGATATAAAAATTTAAAATAAAAAGAAACAACTAAAAGAGGAAGAAACGCGCATTTTTTGGTGTTTTTGTCGATTTGTCGCGTGGTGTTGAAGTCATTGGTGAATAGATGGATGCGCTTAAACATGACTGACTCTCCTCGCGACTTAGTAAAAAGGGTTGCTGCTTCGTTCCACTCTGCTTGGTCACTACCTCGCTCCCTATAAATTCTTCCAGCGCTCAATTCTTCCATCGAAGTTCTAATCGCGAAAGAATGGAGAGACCCACACCCGCTCCCAATTCGCGCGAGAATTTGGAGCTAGACGACTGCGGGAGCTCGTCGTGGGAGATGGGCAGCAGCACCAGCAACGGTCACGAGGAGAGTAAGGTGAGGAGGACGAAGAGGGGGAATTCCAAGCAGGCGATCGCGATTGACGATCACACCACCAGCAAGAGGTCGAGGAAGGCGAATTCTCCTTCTTCTTCGTCCGGCAAGAACAGGGGAGCCGAGAATTCCGCGCCCACTGCAGTGGCGTCGAGTGATTTCCATTGCACCGCCACCACTTTCGTCCAGGCCGATGCCTCCAGCTTCCGGGATCTCGTCCAGCGGCTGACTGGCGCGAGCGATGATTCGATCAAGATGCCCATCACCAAGGCCTCGGGCCAGGGCCGCCCAAACCTCTCCTCCAAGCGCTCGCAAGCCGCCATGAAATTCTTCCAGCAGGGCCAGCTCCAGCATCCGCCCAAGCATATGGTGATCAAGGCTCTTCCTTCCAAGAAGAATCTCTTCCTCAAGAATGCCATGACCGATCTCCTCAGTCCCAAATCGCCGCTCTCTCTGGCGCTAAATTCCTCTCCCAGTAGCAGTGCCTCTTCTTCCTCCAGCTCCTCGCGGCATCAGCGCGAGCTCCCGGCGGCCATGAATCGGATGTTTTTGCAGCTGGAATCGCCGCGGCCCAGCAGCAAATTGGAGCTCCTGCCGCTCTTTCCCATGCGCTAGCCCAGGCGTGGCCACCACCATTTTCAACTTCTCTTTCTTCATAGATCGTTTAGTTTACGTCCAAAGTTCCATTCGCGGAAGAACAGTTCGTGTAAAATCTATTAAGTAAACAGCAAAGTTCTAAACTTCATCACTTGGACGATTCCTTCTTGCCAAACTAAAAGTCAAATAACGTGCAAAATAGAATAATTTTTGACAAGTTTATCTAAGACAAGTTTGACAAGATGGACATCAAGAAGTCGTTGTAGTATAGTGGTAAGTATTTCCGCCTGTCACGCGGACGACCCGGGTTCGATCCCCGGCAACGGCGATCTGATTTTTAGTTTTCCGATAATTTTTTTCTTTGTTTTTTCTTGATCATCCAGCCTCGAGATTGGACTTGTAGATATTCGAGAGCAAAACGTACGAGGTGGAGTCTGTAAGATCCGGCAGCCACTTTGAATGGTGGCCAGATTTCTCCGCAAGAGCAAGAGTTTGTTGCTGGATCTTGCAAGCCGCGAGCAAGGCTCGGCGAGTTTCCGGCTGTGGAAAAAATGGCATGGTTTCAATCAGCTCCTCGGCTTGTTTGAGCAGTCCCACGCGGCTGTAAATGTCAACCATGGCCGAGTAGTGCCCCACCAGGGGCCTCACCTGATGCTCCACGCTCACAAGCACGAAGTATTTCGTCCCACTCTTGAGCAGGCCTCCGTGGCTGCAGGCTGCCAAGACGCTCGAAAATGTGATCTCGTCCGGAACAAAGCCCTCCACCGCCATCTCCAGAAACAAATCAATCGCGCTCTTGCCGTGCCCAGCCTTTGCAAAGCCAGAGATCATTGAATTCCACGTACCAACATCAGCTTTCGGAAGAATTTCAAACAGGACTCTAGCCTCCTGCATATGCCCATTCAAGGCATACGCTGCAATCAGAGTGTTCCAGGACAAAGTTGTCCGCACAGGCATCGTGTTCAGCACAGTCTTTGCTTCGGAAAGGTGCATGTGTTGCGCGTAGGCTGCCATGATCGCGTGCAAAGTTTCCAAGTTCTTTGCAGGCATGGAGAAGAATATCCCTTCGGCATCTGAGAGATACCCGTTCTGGGCATATCCCACCAAGAGAGCATTATATGCTATCAAGTCGTGCTCGGGCATGGAATCAAAGACGAGCTTCGCCTCCTCCACACGACCTTTACCGGAATACGCTGTGATCATGGTTGTGAACGAAACCACATTCCACTCGGGCATCTTGTCAAAGAGTTTCCGAGCGCCGTCTAAGTTTCCATCTTGAGAGTAGGCTGCAAGAGCGGAGCTCCACGAAATAAGATCCTTTTGTTCCATGGAGTCGAAGAAGTCAATGGCTTTGCACGTCTCCCCATTCAGCCCGAAAGCGCTCATGAGCCCGTTCATCGACACCAGATTCCTCTGTGGCATCTTGTCAAACACAAGCTTGGCATTGTCTGGACGTCCGTTTTGAGCATAAGCTGAAACCATTGCGTTCCAAGTGATAAGATCCCTCTCCGGCATCTCGTCGAATGTTTTCTTTGCTCGATCCAAGCGACCATTCTGCGAATATGCCATGATCATTGTGTTGTAAGTCACCACATTGGGATTCGGCATGCTTGCAAACAAAGCATCGGCTTCTTCAATATGCCCAACCTGGGCATAAGCCGACACCATACTAGACCACGAGACGACATCCTTGCAAGGAATGATATTAAAGATCTTTCTCGCCAGATCCAATTTCCCCGCTTGCACGTACGCGTTCATGATTCCGTTCCACGAAGCAGTGTTCTTTTGAGGCGTTCGATCGAACAGCAACTTGGAGCTCTCCAGATGCCCATTCTGGGCATATGCCACAACCATGGTGTTGTACGCCACCACGTCCGGTCGGGGGATGTGATCGAAGATGGTCTTGGTTTGCAGCAAAGTTCCGCTGCTGGCATAGATTCCAAGGATGATGTTCCACGAGAAACTGTTGGGAGTGTGGATGGAATCAAAGACTTGCTGGGCTTCCACCAGGCTGCCGCAGCGTCCATACATGAGAACGAGGAGATTGGCGAGAAATGTGTTGGTGGCTGCGTGAGGAGTTTGCGAGATCTGCGCGTGAATCCGCCGCCCCTGCGAGAGATTGGTGGCATCCGTGCACGATCGCAGCAGCGCCGCGTAATGGTTTTGCTCGCGAATCTCGTCGTCGGAGTAGAGCGACTGCTGAGGAGATTGGATGGGAGACGCTGGTGCTCCGATTAGCTTGAGCTCCATTACGTAGGAAGAATGCTCAGTGATCCATGGTCATGGAATGGGCGACGTCACTTACTTTGCCCATCTTCTCCACTCTTGCAATGATCTCCATCTGGGCAGGCAAATCCACGCTCGTATACATGAAATCCCGTCGCTAGGCTCTCATCTATACCTCTCAAATCTCCTCGTTCTCATGTATGGAAGGTGTGGAAGCGTGAAAAATGCCCAGGAAGTCTTCGACTCCATCTCTTATCCCAATGATTTCTCGTGGAACATCATGCTTGGAGTCTACTCCCAGAACGGGCATCTCCAGGAAGCCAAGAACACCTTCGATCGAATGCCAAATCCAAACGCGGTGTCCTACAATTCCATGGCCGCGGCATATGCTCAAAACGGGAACCTCGATCGAGCAAAAGAGATCTTCGATCAAACTCCGAGAAAGGATGTTGGGTCGTGGAATGGAATCATTCAAGCGCTTTCTCAAGCTGGATATGTCGAGGCTGCAAAGGAAGTTTTCGAGGCCATGCCACAGAGAGACATTGTATCGTGGTCTACTCTTACCGCAGCATATGCCCAATTGGGGCATTTTGAGGAAGCCGAGAGTTTGTTCTTGAGAATACCAGAACCAAACGTTGTGACATGGAACACGATGATTTCCGCTTATGCCGAGGTCGGGCGTACGAAAAATGCCATGTTCGCGTACGACGCCATGCCGCAGAGAAATATGGTGTCAATGAATGGATTACTGCGTGCCTTTGGGCTTGCTGGGGAGACGAAGAGCGCAGCCATCTTGTTTTACAAGTTGCCCGAATGGGATGTGGTCTCATTTACAACAATGATCATGGTGTATTCTAGGAGAGGTTGTGTGGAGGAAGCAAAGCTTGTGTTTGATTCCATGCCCGAGCACGACATGGTAGCGTACAATGCCATGCTTGTGGGATATGCCGAGAATGGGTATCTTCTGGAAGGGGAAAGGTTATTCTTTTCTATGCCCGGGAATAACTTGGAAACACTGCATGCGCTCATGGCATCTTACGCACAGCATATGCATTTTGCGAAAGCTATGAACGTTTTAGACGCAATGCCTGTACGCACAACCCTGTCATGGAACACAATGGTGGCGGCATATGCCCAAAATGGGTATATACAGAAGGCAAGATCCATGTTTGCGCTGCTTCCAAGAGCAAATGTTGATACTTATAACTCGATGATCAACGGTTTTGCAAAGGCTGGATATGGAAATGATGCTATCATTCTGTTTTATGAGATGATTTTGATAGGAGTCTTTCCAGACTCATTCACATTTTCAAGCGTATTAGCAGCTTGCAGCCATGGAGGTCTGCTCAAGAATGGGACTAAACTCTTTGTGCTGCTAAGCGGAGAACATCAAGTGACACCTCACGTGGAACACTATTCTTCCATGGTTGATATTTACAGCCGGGTGGGGCTTGTTACAGAAGCACAAGAACTTATTGATATGATGCCATTTTTTCCACAGCCTGAAACACTCCGTGCTTTATTGAATGCATGCAGGATTCAGAAACAGTTGTTCAGAGCATCAGCAGAATGGTTGGATCTGGATTCCAACTCATGTGTTTCGTTATCAAATATTTACAAGTAATATACCCGATGGGTAATCGCGATGAAGCGGCCCAGGCTAGATGATGATCTCGTTGCATGCGCTGGACGAGTTAGGGAGCTCATCATGAGCAAGTACGCAACCCTTGGGATAGACGATCTCAGCAGCTCGGAGCCTAGACTACATCTTTGTCTACTGCATTTGGACACACTTTTGAAATGGAAGCAAAGCTGCAGTCAACGGAGGCAGGAGAGACGAAGCGGCAAAGGATCCTATATCTCAAAGGAGACTCGGATGTCGTCGATCCTTGTCAGGCGTTCGTGGAAGAAATAGTCGTCTCATACTACGACCTGGTGAAGGATGAAGATCCAGCCATTATGGATCTTCTGCACAATCCGACGCTCACGGATATAGGATTTTCCATACAAAACGGTTTACATCCTTATTGATGATGGAAATGCGATGGATCCAAGTAAGAACGAAGACAATCTATCCTCACAAGCAAGCAAGAATCCAAAGGAGAAAAAGGATGCTGCTTGCTGACAACTACGTTAGCCGAATCCTGCCTTGTACCATGAGAGAACCTTTTTTGTAATAGTCTCTAAAGGATACTGAAAAATGTACATATACGTTGCATCGACCCAAGTTTCTCAATTCCTGCCGCACAATGCAGGACAAGCTCTAGGAGGACGAAGACTCGTATTTGTTCGCCAAGCCAGTTCCAACCCTGTGGCAAGTCCCGAACTACGCTGAGCACATCCAAAAGCCTATGGACCTTGGTATGGTGCAAAGAAAGCTGGACAGTGGTTTGTATGGAGAGATTCCGGAGTTTATCCAAGATGTCAAACTCACATTTTGCAATGCGAATACAACGTTATTGGCTCTGATGCACATAATGCCGCCAAGCGCCCTGCAGCTGTTTTTTCTGACTCTTGTTTTAAACAGGGGTGCTTGATTTGCGGCTTCAAAGAATGAGGTAGCTAAAGTTTTAAGATTTGAACACCTTAAAAGCATAAATATACTTGGTCTGCAATTTTTTGGGTATACAATGTACATTGAAAAGCAAGATTCACCACACCATGAAAAAAAGTGATGGACACAATTTGACCATTGTGATGCACTTATCCAGGGATCGAATTGCAAGACATAAACTCGCGTGACTGGAGTAGTGTATACGTTGTGATGCTTCTGTGCATTAGCTCGCGAAACTGGATTCCAGAGGGACTCTTTTCGGATAGCTTCACCAGTCTCAAGAGCCGCATCGAGCAATGGTTTCGAGACATACAGTGACGCGATGGAAAGCTCGTTCCACGGACACTGCGCGCCCTGGATTGCGTCGCCTTGTGGCTACAAAGTTGGAACGTTTGATTTTACAATTGAGCAAATACAGAGGTATATATATAAAAGTTAGGCAAAAATGGAAAATTTTAAGTGTTAGTGTCTTTTGGGGGTTTAATTTTGTTTATTTCGTGTAGCTGTTATCGGAAAATTTCTCTAAAATAATAGATAGTTAAAAATTTGAAAGTGTACCATTTGATTTGCATGATATTTGTAATATTTCAATAAAGACAATGCTTATTTTAATAAAAAACTTGTCATGATGTTCTTTCTAAATAGAAAACTGGAACCTCATGCCAAGTCAGAGTGAAAAGAGTGAAGCTAGGATAACATAATGTGTCATGTACATAAGTCACAGGGTTATAGTTCTTGATTTTTTAACTGTTTTAGATAAATAATTTGTAGAGTCAGTAATTATTTTAAAAGTTATTAAAGTAGCTATAATAATGGAAAAATCTGGAATTTTAAATATAAACATGTTCAGCTATAAATTAATAGTGAATTATATTTCATAAATTCTCAGAGTTTTTAAGTATTTATTTTATTACTGTGATCTAGATCAAGACTGTAAATTCATAGTCTATATCTGTTAAAAGATCAAATGTATCATGTTACTATGAATCTTAGGTCATGGCACAAGGACACAAGTATTAAGTTATGACAAATAGAGAAATATAGATTCTAACATCTGAAAAAAATAATCATGAACAAAACTATGAGAAGAACTTGCTTCTATGCCTCCATTTTTTTTCCTACTAATGAAAAGATAAAAAAAATTAAAATAATAATATACCAAAAAAAATAATTCTTTATTTTCTTGCATTATCACTTTTTAAATGAGTATCAAACTATAGAAATTAGTATACCAATTTGTTTTTTAGATAAACTTTTTCCAAGAATAATTAAGAGGGGCATGAGTTCAAATTATTTAAATCCTGAAATTAACATTTATAACAAATATACAATATACATAAAATTTTATGGCTTGATAATGTATAAAATTTCTATGAAATTTTATAATTTGAACCCATAATAATATCAATTGCCTTTAGTAAATGATTAATTCCAATTCAAATAAATTCTTCAGCAAGGTTGATCCCTTGCTCTACTCTGCTCCACAGCAATGCTCACTAATTGGGCAGCACATAGCAAAATAGTGGGCCTAATCAGATTGTGAGACACAAAATCCCTAGGCCCCAGAGTGGAGCCGAAAGGGTGCCACGTGGTAGTGGCCGAAGCAAAAGCCAAACGAGCGTAACACATTTGGACTAAAAGGCTTTGACTTGAGAGGTTGAGAGCGGGAGTGGAACTCCCAACGGAGTGCTCAAAGAATGAGCATGAAGCGAGCAATAAGCAAGGCTCCAAAAAAGGACCCAAAAAGGACTAACACATGACACGTGGGAGGAGTCCGAGGTGGACCGAGACGGAGTCCGAGATGGAGTCCGAGGTGGACCGAGACGGAGTCCGAGATGGAGTCCGAGATGGAGTCCGAGGTGGACCGAGATGGAGTCCGAGATGGAGTCCAAGGTGCACCGAGACGGAGTCCGAGATGGAGTCCGAGATGGACCGAGACGGAGTCCGAGATGGAGTCTGAGATGGACCGAGACGGAGTCCGAGATGGAGTCCGAGATGGACCGAGATGGAGTCCGAGATGGACCGAGACGGAGTCCGAGATGGAGTCCGAGATGGAGTCCGAGATGGACCAAGACAGAGTCCGAGATGGAGTCCGAGATAGACCGAGACGGAGTTTGAGATGGAGTCCGAGATGGAGTCCGAGATGGACCCGAGATGGAATCCGAGATGGAGTCCGAGAAGGACCTGAGATGGAGTCCGAGGTCAAGACTGAGACCGAGACCGAGACTGAGACTGAGATCAGGACCGAGACCAAGACCGAGGCCGAGTTTGGGTCCGAGTCCGAGTCCGAGTCTGAGTCCGAGTCTGAGTTCGAGTCTGAGAGGGTGAAAGCCCAAAGCGTTCATCTCCCAGACCCTGGGGGGTTTGGTGAGCTCCAAAAGTATAGTAGGGGGAGGACTGCAGTGGAGCCAGTTTGGCCAGGAAAGGCTAGTTTGGCCCAAGAAGGCCAGACCCAGTGTTGGGTGATGAA